ACCTGAAGGCAGGACAAGAAGCAATGGGTGGAAACTAATCAAGGAGAGAAGCAACCTAGAACTAAGGAGAAATTTCAGATTTACAGATTAATAGAGTTGGAAGGGACCCTAGAGGTCTTCTAGTCCAACCCCCTGCTCAAGCAGGAGACCCTGTATTCCATTTCAGACAAATGGTTCTCCAACATCTTCTTAAAAATCTCTAGTGTTGGAGCATTCACAACTTCTGGAGGCAACTTCTGTTCCACTGGTTGATTGTTCTCGCTGTCAGGAAGTTTCCCTTTAGTTCTAAGTTGCTTCTCTCCTTGATTAGTTTCCACCCATTGCTTCTTGTCCTGCCTTCAGGTGCCTTGGAGAATAGCTTGACTCCCTCTTCTTTGGGGCAGCCCCTGAGATATCGGAAGACTGCTATCACGTCCCCCCAAATCCTTCTTTTCATTCAACTAGACATACCCAGTTCCTGCAACCATTCCTCATGTTTTAGTCTCCAGTCCCCTAATCATCATCATATTTTAAGGGAGGGCTTATTTTCAGGAAAACAGGGTAGTTTAGATCAAGAAACATCTGCAAGAAAACCACAAAGCTCAGAGAGCACCAAGGATCTCCTCTCCGCAATCCCCATTCCCTTCCAGCCCTGATGACGTTACCTAGTTGGGTCACGAGACGTTTGCAAGAAAACAAGCCATCTTAGAGACCACCAAGGACCACCCCCTCATTTATAACCTATCAGCCGTATGCGAACGGCTTGGTGGAACAACTTTCCCCGTCCCTTTCGACGAGCTCAACCTACCAAGATCACCCCCAGGCTCCAGAGATCACAAGATTCATCGTAGCCTCCGTCCTGCAAAAGTTCGGGGGCCGCGTACTGGAGGGTGAAGCAGGGGGTCTGCATGGGCTGCGAATTTTGAGGGCAGAGACGGGCAAAGCCGAAGTCGATCACCTTCACGGGGGCGCCCTCCGACTCGTCTGCGTAGAGAATATTCTAGGAACACAGGGACCACAGAATTACAGGTAGTCCTCGCCTTTCAATTGGCAACAGTGCCGAAGAAAGTGACGAGGGGTGACAAGGGGGCATTTTTCACACTTAACAACCGTTGCAGCATCGCTACAGTCACGTGGTTTATCTTCAGGCGCTTGGCAACTGACTCGCATTTACGACGGTTGCTGCGTTCCCCGGGGTCCCGCCGTTCCCGTTTGCGACCTTCCGACAAGCCAGGTCAACCGGGACGCCAGATTCATTTAACAACCGGATTGCTAACTTAACGACGACGGGGATTCACTTAGCCCACGCGGCAAGAAGAGCCGTCAAAAAGGGGACAAAACCCACTTAGGGACTTTCTCATTTAGCAACATAAAGCTGTCAAGGTTCCAAGTAGTAACATCCCCAGCCATCCGTCCTTCTGTGGTCAGTAAAATGAGGACCCAGAATTGTTGGGGAGAAGAGGCTGACTCTGTAAACCGCTTAGAGGGGATTGTAAAGTCCTGTGAAGCGGTATATAAATCTAAGTGCCATTGCTGCTATCAGACGGACACAGAAATCTCCTGTGAGTGGTTTCAGGATGCTCACAGGAGAAGATAACAAGCAGCTGGGGCTTGTTTAGGATCTCCTCCTGTGGATAAAAGATTAATGGTGCCACGCCTTAGTTGCAGAAGTCAACGTTGTTCGTTAGTTCCGTTCCATTCCTGTTCGAGTTCATGATTCAAAGAAGCACTTGGATAAGTGATTTGCTTTCTGTAAACTTGGTTTGCCGTGAGAGTTTGTTTTTGCATTTGCTGTTTAACGTTTTGCCAGAGAATTTACCTATGTTTATTTTGGGCTCGCAGCCAGCTCGAGCCGGGACTGGTAAATATATTTCCTTTGAAGTTCTGTCTGGCTGTCGTTTCTGAACGAGCAAGGAGGGGGGTCAAAACACCTTGCTATCTTATAATTCAATTTTAAACCAAACATTGACGGGTTAAAAACAGAAAACCTCTTGAAATGCAATTTTGGGCTCTTTCACCAAGCATCTTCCCTGGGAGCCCAACCCCCCTAGCGTACCTCGGGCTTGAGGTCCCGATGTACCACTCCCGAGTCGTGCATGAAGCTAACAGCAGAAACCAAGCTGCGCATGATCTGGCTGGCTTCCGATTCGCTGAAGTGTTGCTTCTTCTTGATCCGGTCCAGGAGTTCCCCGCCCCTCAGCAATTCCATCACCAGGTACGTGTGATACTACGGATAAAGAAGGACAAAAAATGGGGACATAGCAGCGGTGCCTTGGTACTTAACGGCTGTTGAGGCCCGCCGACGGCCAGCTCTGCTCAGCAGCCGAGTCAGACATTGAGGAGGTTGGGGAGGAACATGGGCCAGTCCTAGAGGGCTGAGGACAGCTCTGCGTCGGAGGCAGAGTGGGAGCTCAGTGAGGCAGAAGAACAGCTGGAGCCTATTCCCAGTGTGTGCATGCGCAGAGCTGCCGGAAGACGAGAACAACTAAGAAAGCAGGCGGAAGAGGGAATGGAGCTGTCAGAGAGAGACAGAGGCAGAGCCTGGGTCGGCCGTCAGCCTTCAGATGGAGAGTCAACAGCCCCCAGGTCTGGAGGTGGCCGATGAGGAAGAGGAGGAACAGCTTGGTCCAATGCTTGACACACGGATGCACAGAAGGCAGAGGAGAGGAGAACAGTGGAAATCTATGGGCCGGTCCTTGGGACGGAAGAGCAACCACTGCTAGCAAAGCCCCACCCTAGCTCTGGGGATAAAAGGCAGGGGGCAGAGAGAAATAGATATGGCAGAGGAGAGGAGAACAGTGGAAATCTATGGGCCGGTCCTTGGGACGGAAGAGCCACCACTGCTAGCAAAGCCCCACCCTAGCTCTGGGGATAAAAGGCAGGGGGCAGAGATAAATAGATATGGCAGAGGAGAGGAGAGCAGTGGAAATCTATGGGCCGGTCCTTGGGACGGAAGAGCCACCCCTGCTAGCCAAGCCCCACCCTAGCTCTGGGGATAAAAGGCAGGGGGCAGAGATAAATAGTGCTCCTAATAAAGGGAACGTTTCGTTAACTACAAAGGGCTTATCGTTGTTTGGGATCGGAGTCGAAACAAATCTCAGCCTCCAACCTCTTCGTCCTTAACTAAATTGCGTTTCTCGAAGGGCTTCCTCTCCAAGAACGAGGATCCTCACCTGGTCGTGATGAATATCGTGAAGTTTGACAATGTTCGGGTGGGTTTCGCAGATCTGCAGAGCCGCCACCTCACGCTGGGTGTTGACTTCCATCCTGCACCGGGAAAAAGGAGGAGAAAGGTGCCACTTTCCATCGCAGCTGATTGAAGGTAAAGCTAAAGGTTCCCCTCGCGCATAGGTGCCAGTCGTTCCCGACTCTAGGGGGCGGTGCTCATCTCGGTTTCAAATCCGAAGAGCCAGCGCTGTCTGAAGACGTCTCCGGGGTCCTGTGGCTGGCATGACTCAATGCCGAAGGTACATGGAACGCTGTTCCCTTCCCACCAAAGGGGGTCCCTATTTCTCTACTTGCATTTTTTACCTGCTTTCAAACTGATAGGTTGGCAGAAGCTGGGACAAGTCACGGGAGCTCACTCCGTTACGCGGCTCGAGGGATTCGAACTACCCAACTGCCGTCCTTTCTGATCGACAAGCCCAGTGTCTTAACCACTGAGCCCCCATGTCCCATTCCACAACTATAAAGTTCCCTCCCCCCGCCAATCTCGTAGCCTTCGCACCCCATCATTCCTCCCTCCGTTTTCCACGCAGCGCCAGTTTTAACCCGGTGACGGCCTCTTCAGCTAGCTTAGTGGCACCGCTGACCTCGCCAAAGGGAGAATTGTTGATTTCAGGGATTCGAACACGAGCCCCATTAGGAGCAAGAAAGTTTTCTCAGTCCTCCCACACCTTGCATCGTGTTCTCTTTCGACGCGGGGGAGCAACAGGACTGAAAATGGATTTTTTTCCCTTGCTGGCTGATATTAATAGCCCAGGCCACCCACTTAAATCTGGCTCAAGATTTGACTGAGTTCTTAGCCGTAGAGATGAATTTCGGCTGTCGCAGGTTTGGATAGGGACAAAGGCTCCTTTAAAAGGCGGAGCAATAGAAGGCATTTCCGATTGGCTGCTTCCATCGGTCCCTCCTGATTGACTGAGGCCACGTGTATAAATGCCCCTGCTCACCGACTCCCTGAGGCATTTTGCGTGCTGCGTCCGAACAGGAGTTTCTGGGTCAGAAACCCGAGATTGACTTGGCATAAAAAGAACCAAAAATAAAATAAAAAATAAAATAAAAATGACAAAACAACTAAACAAAATAAATAAAATAATAAATAAATAAAATAATAATAAATAATAATAATAAATAAATAAAATAATAAATAAAATAATAAATAAAATAATAAATAAAATATAATATAAAATAAATATAAAATGAAATATAAAATAAATCTAAAACATAAAAGATGAAAATATAAAATGAAATATAAAATAATATATAATATATAAAATATTATAAAATATTATAAAATATTATAA